GCTAAAAACAATACTTTTACTTCTTTACTTTAAAATTTAAGACCTAGTTACTCATTACAAAATGAAATGTTTGAACTCATCATGAAATAAGATGTTTCTGCACTCTTAAAAGTGAAGTGAATCACTGATTGGTGGGCCTGATGGATAGAGCTTCATCAGAGCTAAACAACAAAGAAAATCTGAAGCTCCTATGTTGAACAGTTTCTGAGTTATAAACATTTTTGCATGTCCTGACACCCCCACTTTGAAAGGAGCCTCCTCCTCAAATATGGGGTCTATTGTAAAACCGTTGGCTGGCGCAGTGTAGGTCAGACTCATCTACAGTCGTGCCATATTTCAAGTTGACTGGTACAGCCGTTTTAGTGCTACAGTTGACCAAAAACCACTGAAAAAAAATTAAATAAAAAAATAAACAGTATGAAAACAATTCGACTCCCACTTACGTTTCGCGTGCGGGGGTCATAATTAAGTGGACTTGAATAAAAACACAACATGTAGAAAAGAAAGAGAAACAATCTCTACATCAGAAGAGATTAAAGCAAGCAGATGTAACTGAGAACATTGTATTTGTTAGAAAACACTTTGATTTTCCAAAGCTGAGGGCTCTAGAAATCGCTACATCACAATACTTTAGAGCTAATTAAACAAGGTTATGCACATGTGGCTTCCTGTTGCAGATCCAGGAGAACACACAACAGAAGGCCAGCAGACCTCTGTCGTACCAGGGAACAGCCAACCTCTACCTCCTGATCACCAGCAGCACCATGTACCAGTGCCAGGACACTCTTAGGCCTGCCACTGTGCTTTATGAGTGAAGTGTGTCTGTTAGTGTTTTCCAAATCTAAATTATTTGTTACTGTTTAGGGTTTTCAAACCATCTCCCAACCAAAAAAAGAAGCTCAAATATAAAAAGCACATCAGAGACACTGACTGTCACGGTTATGAAGTTTGGGATGTTGTGCCAGTACCAATGATGTTGGTCCTCTTATCGGCCCAATGAGCCAGAGCTGAAATGTGGAGCTGCTCTAGTTTTCTTTGTGTGCAATCAGTGCTTTTGTTTGGGGTTGTGTTCAGACTTTTATCACAATAAGGACTCTGTTCTCTGTGGGAATTTCTCTGGGGTGAAATGGAAAGGCTGGTGGCCTGAAAACAGAATGCCTTGTTTTCTGCACACTGTTTTTGTTGCGATGATACTGTCTCCTACAGGAAATGATTACTTTTTATTCTAAAGAGAAACTTTTGGGGGTTGAAATGATCCTGCTGACACAAAGTTGTATATTCTGTATTTGCATTCCCTCAAAATCAGCTCATTTAGTTGTTGCACCAAAAAGTTAAAGACCAAATGATGTTACTATAGGATATAGTTAGATTTAGGCATTTATTTTACAGTTTAAGTGAGTGTGTATGGGAATGTGTGTTAATACTCAGTTTGTATGTGTGTGGTCATATTCATTATATTTAAAGTATTTACTTATTCTTTAAATTAACTGGAAATTCAACAACAGTTTTGTTACAGTCCCATCAGATAAATGAAGAAAGTCATACAGGGTTATTTCTTAAAGGTGTTTATTTAATTAGATTTTATTACAATAGGTCTCTTGTAAAAGCAACTTTTATTTTTTAACCCAAGCAGCAGTAAAGGTTTTGATTTATTATTTTTCCATTGAAAATCTGCTAAATTCCTCCCAACATCTCGTACAATGAGTTCATAAATTGTTGTGATGATTCAACTGTTGCTAATAAAATGAATGAACTTGCAAGTGTAACATTTGCAGTTGTTATATTCAAATTAGCATGAAAAACGTCAACTACATTCAGTTTATTTCGTCCAGGGGATTACACTCGTCTAACATATTGGAACCCCCGTCGTGGACTTTTTAGGCTTTGTTTTAATCATATGACTGGTTGAATTTTTGAGCGACGTAGTCACCTGCTGTGATAGGTGGGTACTTGTTTGATCCGTCGCAGCAGGTGATCAGCACCTCATCATCTGGATGGACGAAGAAGGCCACAGACTGACGGGTCCTTGGGTCTCCAGTAGGAGGAAGCAAAACCCTGTGACTCTGAAGAACGAGGATCAGCATTAGAAGCCATGCATATTATTTTTTCCACAGTTTGAAGTTAAAGTAAAGCTGTATTTATTTATGTTTTCATGTTATATCAGTGTGTAAACACCATCCTTATGCCTCCAAGCTTATTTTACTAAAATAGCTAAATTGCAAGTAGGGGGATTAACCTGGTCGTGTGGGCAGAGTTTGTCCTAACCATGATTAGTTGACTTGTCTTGTGGGGCAAGTTAAAAGATGAAATAATGGTTATAATAAAATTATTGTGAGCATGTATATAACTGACTTCAAATATGGTGCAACAACCACCTTTCTCTTATGATTAATATATTCATATTCAAAATTAGCTGTGTTTTTAAACAGGTTTGAACTGTTTTGACCTTGTTACACAGTGTTGTATTAAGTACCATACAGTGATACTTGAGTAAAAGCACAAGTACCTTACCAAAGGATTACTTTGGTAAAAGTTAAAGTATCTGATATTTTTTGTACTTACGTATTAAAAGTAAAAGTATTGATTTAAAATGAGCAGTTAGGTTTTCTGTAATGACATTTATTAGGAGGTGACCTCCCCAAAAACTGCAGAAATTACTTTTGTATTAAAATAATTAATTTATGTTAAATTTAGGATGCACTGTTTAGCTGTTTCCGTTTATATACATATCAAGGCTGCGGGCCAAATGCAATAATATAATTCATGGAATATAAATATTTTTTAAGTAGCTAGTACAGTACTTTTATTTTAATGATTATGTCCTACTGGAGTGACATGATTTGTTTGTGTACAAACTAATAGAGTATCAGAATTTTATATATTTATACTTCTCATTCAACCACAATTAAATTCACTCTATCTAGGAGGCACAATTTATATGGATATTATTTATTTTTTTACAATAACAAGCTGGAATGAAAACAAGCAAAAATGAAATAAAAGTAAGTAGAAAGTACAGATAATTGTGTGAAAATATAAGAAGTAGAAGTAAAACGTAGGCTGAAAAATTAAGTAAAGTACAGATACCCAACAATTCTACTTAAGTACAGTAACAAAGTATTTATACTTAGTTACTTTACAACTCTGGTTACACATCCCTCCACATGTACGGCAGTCAAATTTAATAATTTTAGATCATTAAATTTATAAACAGTATAGATAACAGTAGCACCTTTCTTTTTTATTTTATTTTATTTTTTTATTTATCCTTTATTTTATTTACTTTTTCCTGTTTCGAGTTATGAGTAAAATATTGTTTATATTTAAAGTTACAGCTGACGAAACTCCCACTTAGTGACTGCAAAGACCCCTTTCTACAACACTGAATGCCCAGTCCTGACAGTGAAGCACGGAGGTGGAAGTGTAATGATGTGGAAAGATGTGACTGCAAAAGTTGATGATATGATTACACCACATATTTCTCTCATAGACTCAGGAGGATGTGAACAATGATATTCTTGAAATAGTTGGCTTAACCATTTAAAAAGGAAAAAAAAAAGTAAGAATAAACCTTCCCTCACCGCAGAGATAAAGCGATCAGCAGTCCAGCGCTGCATCAGGTCAGCGATGTTGATCAGGACAGATCCAGGCACGTTGGTGGCAGGGATGTAGTTACCTGAGCGTGTCAAAACCTGAAGGGAGAGCCGTGTTAGAGGGCGGACCGTGGCTGAGGGTCTGGTCTCATATTCACGTAGTTAAATGTTTTACCTCTAGTCCATCAGAGCCCTGGAACACCAGAGTGATGGTGCCGTAGTCTGAATGCTCCGAACAGCGTATCTGGTTCTCCTTCACCGTCTTCACTGGGGGGTAGTACAGGGAGCGCATGGTCGTGGCGTTCTCATCAGCTGCAGGAGACAAAGCAGCTCTGTCACAAAGCTCTGTTCGTCCACAAATACAAACAACTCAAAATAAACCGATAACATAGAAAATTACAAATAGAAAACTTAAGATTTGTCTTTTCCTCAACGCAAGATTAAAAATTGATGTTACAAAAATTTGAAAAAAAAAAAATTAAGTTGCATTTTTTTAAACCAAATGGTATATGCCCATACAATTTAGTTCACAGAAACAGCAGTAGATTTACTTGGAAAACATTGCTGTTTTCTATAAGGCCACCAATAAGCATGTCATGATAAAAAAAATAAACAAACCAGAAGAAAAAACATTTCAATAACATTCTGAAACAGAAAGCAATCTAGAGTGTGTGCTTTTGCAGATAATGGGATGCTTTATATGATAAATTGACATCTATATTTTAGTTCAAGGTGTGGTGTCTTACTCCCTTCAGATTCTCAAATTTACAAGGATTGGCAGAGACTTGGGACTCTAATCATCTTAGGTTGAAGTAAGGAAACATTGCTAATAGCCCAAATAAACAAGATCATAATGACAAAACAAACATCATCATCATTAACCTGTTTTTATTCATTGAGGTTATCACTATAAATTTCTTGTAAGAAATATGGCAACAATTAATAAATCTTCATACATATACAGTATACTGTTTATATATATAAATATTTTTGGAAATCAATTCAAGTTCCCAAATTAGTGTTTTACGACCCCTATAGTGAGCTGTGTGAAGCTGACACCCCACCCACGTCAAAAAATTAATCAAATAGTCAGAATGGTTAGTGCTCCGTTTGTGCAGGTTTGTGCCGTTAAAATGGTCGTTTGTGCAATTTTGGTTTCCGAGATATTAAATATTATATATTTGGTCATCTACAGTTCACCATCACCCCATATCGCTTCAAAAGTAAACCAAAGTGGGCTAGTTCGTTAGTGCTCCGTTTGTGCAGGTTTGTGCTGTAAAAACTGTCGTTTGCGCAGCTTTAGTTTTCGAGATATTTGAAGTTAAAAATTGGCCCGATGACGTCACCATTCCGGAAGTTGCTGCGGGGACGATGACGTCATCGGGTTACACTAAAAACTAGTAATATCTCTAAAAGTATTACAGCACAAACGCTAATTTGAACTGCACAAACATGCACAAACGAAGCACTAATAATGTAGACTACTTTGTTTAATTTTGGAGCTTGCTGGGGGGGATTATAACGTCTTAATGACCTAAAGACATAATGCTTAATATCTCAAAAACTATAACAGCACAAACGCTCATTTTAACTGCACAAACCTGCACAAACGAAGCACTAACCAATCCGCTTACTAGTTTTTATTTTTTGTGTGGGTGGGGTGTCAGCTTCACACAGCTCCTATAGCGCACTCAAAAAACAGATGTAGTGGATATAATTTTAAAAAATTCAACTGTATCCACTTAACTGAATAAAGGTACACATTTACTTTACGGTTACTCTCCGTAAACGTGTTACCTTTACTCAGTTCAGTTGAGTAGAACCAGTATATTTTTTTATTTTCATTAAATCCACTACATCTGGATTTTTGAGTGTAGTTCCTGATCATCAACATAAATGAAGTCGGATGCAGTGACTCCTTTAACCTCCACTGTTACAAAACTGAAGCCTGCTTGTGAGGGGGGTTTCAAAATGTCACAAAACCTTTGCAAAAGTTCACAATTTGCTTACACTAAAAAAACACAGATGTAGTGGATTTAATTAAAAAATTGGTAACAAGTTCCACTCAACTGTATTGAATAAAAGTAAATGTAAAGTAAATATGTTACCTTTACTCAATTCAGCTGAAGGGAACCAGTTGACTTAATTTTTAAATTAAATCCACTACATCTGTTTTTTGAGTGTACGTGAGCAACAAGGCTTCAATCAAATATTCTCATAATAATCACAGAGTTGCTGTTATTTTTATTTTGTGTAATTAGAGCATTATTATTTGTCAATATGAACTCACACTTCTGTCAAAACTGGAACCAAAACTTGTGAGGAGTTTGTGCAAATGTGTTCAGAGTTGTTCCAAATGAACGTTTTCCTCATGTTTTCTCACAATGTTGTGTTTCCCTTTACAAGCAGTGAGAAACGACCAACATAAATTCAGAAGGGCCCATTACAATTTATTTTTTGCCCATCCCTGACCTAAGTGGAGAAGAGACATCATACTTCCTATGAGAAGATGTGCACGCACAAACACATCTGGATCCAGACCCAGACTGAGGGCCATCACCCTCAGAACCCGCATACTCAGCTCTTTACAGCGCTGATAGAAAGACGTGTGGATCTCCCTGAAACACTTCAGAGCGTCTGATGTGGGCCATTTCTGCAGAACACAAAACAGAGCTGATTGAAGATGTAAACAACGTAGCTGCTAACCTGAATTTCTAAAATTTATGTCACAAAAACTGCAAAATGACATTCATACAGAAGTGACTAAATTTAATGCACAGATTTACAATATCAGGGTGAAATGAAGCAGTGTTGAAGGACTCCTTTAGGTCTGCCGGTCGGTTCGGACTCAGCCTGAAAAACATAATCTGAATTAGATAAGAACTGATGCTTTTTTAAAAAAAAAATGAGTTTCATACTTCTCAGTCTCCACTGGCACCCAGCCGTGGTTCAGATTGTTGGGGAAGCTTTGTCTGATGAAAGGTTTTTTCAGCTCATCTGGCTGCAGGAAAAATTTCGAGGATATGTCCAAGATTTGGTCCACCTGTTTAAATACAATATCAATATAATGTAAATTAAAGGCCTAGGGTTCCTCTGCCTTTAATGCCAGAAAATGATCTTAAGTTATATCCAAAGTCAAACTTTGACAAAATGTTACAGGTTATGCCATATAAATCGATATCATGAGATTTAACACTCAGAATTATAAATGACGCTCAGCTTCTGCTCAGTATCTATCAACTCAACAGACCAGTAGTCAGACTTGTAGTTTGTCTTGCACAATGAGCAGCACTTGGAAAACAATGTGAATCAATCAATCATGTTTATTTGTGTAGCACATTTCAGCAACAAGGCAGTTCAAAGTGGTTTACATCATAAAAACACAAAAAATACAAAGTCATAGAACACACAGTTAACAAGTAAAGCATTACGGTTTGTCAAGTGCCATTGTTACACATCAACATGTTGATTAATGTTTCATTTTTTATGTTTCATAAGCAACTCTAAACAGATGGGTTTTCAGTCTTGATTTAAAGCAGTGTTTCCCAAAGTTGGGGTCGGGACCCAAAGTGGGGTCCCGAAACATCAAGGTGGGGTCCTGAAAAGATTTTCTGAATTAATTA